TTTGTTAGCTGCTGCTGCCGCTTTGACTCCCAGGCCACATCCCTAACGGTATCAGCCACGCACATTGGAAGACACTTCTTTTTTGGTATTTAGTATACTTCAAGTTCAATACTACTCAACACTGTAAATACAGTTATGCACTTCGGCTTTTCTTAGCTGTCATTAAATGTATCCAGGCGAATAGACATGGCTGTATCAATACACTTACAAATCTAGAGCGTTGGTCAGTCTGTTCTCGCTGATATGTACCGTGTCCTGTCGAGATCACGTCAGCAAGAGACAAACAAACGTTTGTTCTTTTAACTTCGGATAACAAAATAAAATAAAACCATGCATTTAATTTTATTCTTTGTAAAGCAGACGCATTCCTTAAATATAAATGATTTAGATTTTGTGATATTGATTTTGTCAAAAAAGAAAAAAAAAATACTTGGTTCTAATATTCATATCAATCTACCGCCACCTTCAACCTCTTTTCTGACCGCTATTCACAGCTTTCTAGATCTTTGTACTGTCCCAAAAGGGTAGGGTGGAGGTGTTGTGACAATATCCAAGAGTAAATTTCGAGCGAGATTCGAACATTTATCCCTTTTCCTTGGAAAGCCTACTTCCCTGTAGCAGCTGCCTTATCAATTAGGCCACAAAGAAGTTACCATGGAGCTTTCATTCTTTATTTTTGTTGAACGCCAAATATGCTACCACTTTTGTTTACACACATTTTTAGTAATATTATTTATTATTTATTAGATGAAGTATTGTCAATTATTATTAATTTTTGACTCGTATTCTTTCATCTTAATTTCAATTGCTTTTTATCTCCACCCTAATATCGATATTATTTATTTTCGACGATTTGCAAGTTTCGATAAAAGTAAAAAAAAAAAAAACAATAAAAAGTTAATAATGTTTTTCTTTATCAATTTGAGGAATTTTCAAAATAATTTTAACTTTTCTTAATTCTTTAAAACGAAATAACAAGTAAACTTTAAAACGATCAAGTCAAAAATTATTTATTTTTGTTAGAAAATCAACGAAGGACACCGGTATCATCAGGAGTAACACTTTCGCTGCTGTGGACGTAGTTATACGTCTTTTGGGAAACTTAACATTGCTTGCTGTCTATATATATATATATATATATATATTATGACACTATGAAATATTGGTCCCTAGCATTTGCGTTATAAATTAATTAGTGCTTAGTACTATTTCCATACCAATGTAGTCATATAGTAGCGTACAATACGACCTGTTGTCTGACTTATTTTTATTATACGGTGTGTTAGTCTGTTCTGCAGAGTATCCGATTGGTGTCAAAATGGCAGTACCCAGGAGAAATGGCCGTGTTCATTTTTACAGTCGTTTATTTCTAATACATGGAAATTTCTTATTTCTCCCAAAATAGGCCAGCACAGCCAGGAAACAATGCTACAACAATGCAGTGGTGAATTAATGTAGAATATTTTTCATCTTTCAACGGCAATTTAGATTAAAAACTGATTGAGAAGATTATTTCAATAAAGAAGTAAATGATAAGAATTGGAGTACAATTTTAATTATAGCATATTAGATACCATATGAAACCCACTTAAAATGCCTCAAATAAATCAATATTAAGTTATTCTTTTCTCTTAGTCAGTCGCTACATATTTTAATCAAGTGAAAGGCTTACTTCGACACGTAAATATACTTTTATTTGAAGCTTCATATCTTTCTCGTGGTTTGTTTTATGCATCAAGTACAGTAACTTTTTGCTCATGCACACAAGCAGAAAGCAATCGTCTGGTTATTTGGGGAAACATTTTTGAGTAAAAATAAATAAATAGATGAGTTGGGATCAAATATGGCTCGGAATCCGACAGATTGATAAAATATTTATCTTATCATAAATAGATGAATAAAAAATTAATTAATTAAAACACCAAAGTATGAAAAATAATCTGCCGTCAAATTGAACGGATGTTTGAAAACCATTTTCTTAAATTATTTTTAGCAAGTTGTGACTTTTTTTTAATGATCAGGAAAGAATTGTTCTTTGTCATAGGCATTTGTCATTTCTTTATCTTTATAATTAGAAACAATTATAACTTGCGCTTTCTATGCTTGTGTGAATAATGAATCGAAAATAAAAGTCTAGTACAATTATCTTATGAATATGTCAATGAAATACATTAATTATTTCTTAAACTAAATACAAAATCCTTTTACTGGTACACGTTTCACAATTTACACATCATGTAAAATTATTTATTTTTGCATGGCCTAGATTTTAGAGTAACAAAAAAAAAAGCGATAATTATTTGATGAACCTGACATATATGGTAGACGTTCGAGGCACTACAATACCCAAAAGGTTTTGTAGATATTTCCATATTCAGTTTCTTGGTACTTATGTGGAGTATCTCGTACATCATTATCTGAGTGTAAAAATAACCTAGTATTTTCATCTCCTTCTATACACAACACTCCTGTCAAATTCGATGTATGATACATCAGTTCCTAGGAAACCGATAGCACATAAGATTTGATTATAGTGGTGAAGGTTCTGTGCAGAAAAAAAAAAGTTCAGAACCATCCACATTTTTTGAAGGACCGAATACAGAAACCTGGTGCACTACGTGTCACAAGGTCCCCAAACGACCCTCTGCAGGTTTTGAATTCAGAGTTGTCCTTCTCCTAGATCAGTTGCAAGGCTATAGAACCCAGTCTGCCCTGCTATTTACCCGTAGCTTTTCCCAAGGATATCAGCACGTAAGTGAATGTAATAGATTCGACTGGAATTCGAACTCGGCGCTCCGATTACTCCACCGTGCCCCCTCTCTCTCTTCCTCCCTCTTTCTCTCTTTCTCTCTTTCTCTCTCTCTCTATATATTTTAATGAACATTAACTATATATATATATATATATATATATAGAGTTAATGTTCATTAAAATATTTGAAGTAAGTATCATTCAAATGGGGTATAATTTCACTGTACGTAACATTCTTCATTCTTATGCAATCTCCCAGAGATTCTATGATGATAGTAAAGAAATTTTTAAAAGATTTTTTTACTTTTATATTTTTCATAATTACGAAGGTGGCGGGTATTCGTAAAAAGAAAATGAAAAAAAAAAATCTCTAGATATTTTCGTTCGGGAAAATTTTGCTGTATTTATCTGGCCTATTTATGCGACCAAACGACTATAATCCAATACTTTCATTTTCGCTTTCTGATATAACATCAAAAGATAGATAGATAGATAGATAGATAGATAGATAGATAGATAGATAGATAGATAGATAGATAGATAGATATGAAGTAGCTGGGATAAGCTAGTCTTTTCATATCTATTTATGCCAGTCTTTTTATTATCATATCTATATAATCATGTTCGTTATCGATCTGTTGATATCATATAATCATATAAGAAAGGGAAAAGAAAATATACAATTACAGTATATATTCGCATAAATACATATCTGTAAATTTGAGCCAATATCTATCTATCTATCTATCTATCTATCTATCTATCTATCTATCTATCTCAGTCTGTCCCTATCTATCTATCTATCTATCTATCTATCTCAGTCTGTCCCTATCTATCTATCTATCTATCTATCTATCTATCTATCTATCTATCTATCTATCTATCTATCTATCTCAGTCTGTCCCTATCTATCTATCTATCTATCTATCTATCTATCTATCTATCTATCTATCTCAGTCTGTCCCTATCTATCTATCTATCTATCTATCTATCTATCTATCTATCTATCTATCTATCTATCTCAGTCTGTCCCTATCTATCTATCTATCTATCTATCTATCTATCTATCTATCTATCTCAGTCTGTCCGTATCTATCTATCTATCTATCTATCTATCTATCTATCTATCTATCTATCTCAGTCTGTCCCTATCTATCTATCTATCTATCTATCTATCTATCTATCTATCTATCTATCTATCTATCTATCTATCCAAGTGGTTTCATTATCGATCTGTTGATGTCATATCAGAAAGCGAAAATGAAAATATTGGATTATAGATGTCTTGTCGCATAAATAGGCCCGATAAATACAGCAGGTTTTTCCTGAAGGAAAAAATCTAGAGATATTTTATTTTATGAATACCCCCCCCCATGTAATTATAACCTTTTCTCGAAAGCAAAATGTCATTAATGGAATAAGTGCTGAAATTTTCATTTTAAATCCATTAATTACTTAATTTTTGGTAATTTTTTTAAAAATCTGAGGCTAAACTATTCATGTTACATCATGTTTGGAAAGGTCACAAATGATTTATGATTTTAATAGAGAAAAATCGAATTCAAATCTAAAAGTAAATTAACGATCAATTTTGTAAATAATTCATCGATTTTTTTTCTAGTTTATTTTTCTTTTAACAATTTTTTCAAATGAAAATAAATACAAAAACCGGAAAAAATGCGCATATTTTAATTTTTAATAATCAATATTGAACTCCATTAAAATGAATATAAAATAATTTCTTATAGTTTTTTTTAGTAATTCTATGGAAGTATCTATTATTCTTTCTACTGCTACTAAAGTTGCTTATTATTCTTTCACATATTGTTAGTACATAACAATAATAAAAGATTTGAGACGAGCTAAAGCCAAAAGTATAAATTTAAAAAACTAATTTTATTTTCGCTAGTAAATTTTATATTAACGATGACAACAAATTCATGTAAGTTTTATGCATGTTTTAGGAATTTCTTTATTAATATGACAACAGCAGTCAAAAAGAACATCATTGTGGTCAATCAGAGAAATGCAACAAGAATATACCATTCCTTTATGGACGCTGAGATCAAATGCAATTTTTCGATATTCTGTGATACAAGTCCTACTAATTAACCCATAGATGGGGGAAAGGAGATGGATTCATAATTTTCCCAAGAGTTAGTGTAAGTGAATATAATGAACCCAACTGGAATTGGAACTCAGCTCTCCAATTTCAAAACTTTATGCATTCCACCATTCACATATCCAAACTTACAGCACCTGGTATTCCCAAGCGGTCACCCATTTAGGTGCTGACCAGGCTAGACGTTGCTTAACTTTGGGGATCGTACGAGAACCGGTGTTTCAACGTGATCTGGCCGTAAGGGGAAGAAATAGAATACCTAAAAATAATAAAATATTAAACTTTTGAAAGTATTTCATTTTTTTAAAATTACTGTATATTTAAATAATCTGGTTCACTTAAAATTCGAAAATACTGTCACCTCTGTCCTTCCGTTCGATAAATTCCTCTGATGTTAGTTGTCGATACATTGATGTAAACGGTACCACTGGTAGACAAGCTTCTCTTATTTTCAACTAAGTTTTTTCTACTAAAAATTTAAGTAATGTTTGTTTCTATTTACATTAAATAAACTTTAGATTTTCTAATTTTCCTCAAATAACTTTTTAGAAAGTATAATTGATTCTTACAAGATTTTTAAACGGAGAATTTCACTTTTGTTTACAGGGTTGTAAAAAATGACGGACATGATCGATTTTATGGCAATTTTACTGACTAAAAACAAAAACAAGATATTTAACGAAAATTTCGGACGTGCTAGGAAGGATTAAAAAATGTAAGAAAATAATCAAAAAATACTTTGGTCTTTTCTCCTAATAATTGCATAGACATTTAGACGATAAAAATTGTTTATCAAGTTTGGATATTTTTTTCATCAGATATGCTCTTTTTTAGCGAAGTACCTACCTCAAAGTAAATGTCCAGTATTAATACTAACTAGAAACACTTGTAAAAGTTTTACGGTTTTTCTGTTTAAAAGTTCTGAGGAATCCTACTTAAGTAACTCTTAAATGATTGAATATACCCACAGTGAGTTCCACAACAATAAAATTTCCGTAGAAACTCCCTTATCGTATTGTTAAATATTTGAGCTTAACAACTTTAACAAAATATTGCAATAATAATACATAAATATGAATATGAATGCTGGTTGTTATTTTAAGGAGTAATATAATTTACAAATGAAACGATTTGAATTTTTTCCATTTCACTAAAACAGTCATTAAACACTTCTATTTTCTCTTCTTTCTTTCATTTTCTCATTGAAATCAAGTTTCCCCCTCTTTACACAATCAAAACAAAATAGTCCATTATTTATGAGATACTGGCAGACGTTAAAGACTTTTATCTTTCCCTATTTCTTTCTTTCTAGCCATATCCTCGTATTAAGAACATATCTCTTAATAATAATTTAACAACGGAAATGTCTTCATCAATATTATAGGCTTTGGCGGATCTAGAACAAAGAAGGGTGAGTGATTCGGTCTGAATAAGTATTCGGAAGCGGCATTTAGGCGAATTAGTGTCAATGAAGTAACTTCTAAAATTGTGTCATTTTCCCTCTATTTCCGCTTGTACCATTTTGAATTCGCCTTTTATAGGCATGCATTAATCGCCATTAACAATAACTAAAAAAAAAATAAAAAAAAATCAACTCTAGCCACTATCAGTTCAGTTGATTGTTGTTTTTGGCGGGGTGGTCTTTTTTAAAAACATTGTCTTTTACAGCGTTTGTTGTGATAAGAATACGAATAAAAATAAATATCGCTCCAAGCCATTTTATAGCTATGGGGTCAGCACAAGAGAGAGGAAATACATTGTTGTAGTGTTGGGTAAATATTAGCTGTAAAAACTTTTTGAGCCGTTAAGGACCTAATTTGTGGGGTTCTCTTGATTTGCCCCTTCGAAATGTAATTAATTAAGGACATTTTTTCTACGTCTTAAATATTTGTTTGCATTTGTTTCCTTTCTACTTTTACCAGCATTCATTCTTTCAAAAAAGTTGTAAATATTTTGTTGAAATAAAATGAATATTTTTAAAAAATGCATTTGTATTTTTATAAGGTTCAACTACCACCTTGTCCCTGATAAAATTAGATTAACTCTAACGTTCAGGGCCGATGTAAGGACCTTGTGGGCCCCTACCGAAACTATGAAATGTCCCCTACTATATTACATTTTTTATAGGGAAATATGAAAATTGAGTTTTTGGGGATAGAATAGGAAAAGAAAGCACGTAACCGCTCTTATCTCAAAAGGTTAAACTTGAATAAGGCACAAACAAATAAAACTCAACCACTACGTGAAATTTATAAGTACAAACATTTATTATAGTATGCAAAAAAAAAAAAAAAAAAGAAAAAAAAAAAGAGGCGCGTAATGGATAGCGGCTCGGATTGAAGAATCGGAGAGCCGAGATCGAATTCCAGTCGAATTCATTACATTCACTTGGGAAAAGTATGAATCCTCTTCTTCTACGCCCCCCCTACAACCAGCTATGGGTAAATAGCAGGACAGACCGGGTTCTTGGACCAAGTGCCTTGGATGGCAACTAGTCTACCGCAGAAAGAAATGGCAATCTACTGCGGGAAAAGAATCTGCCTTGTCAATCTAAAGATACATGATCGCCTAAGCGTGTATCACTCACGGCACATAAGTGACTGACACAAAAAAAAAACAAAAAAAAAACCAAATGCAAAATATTACACGAAAATTTCCTTTTGTGCAAAACGTCGCATAAAAATGTCCTTTTGTGTGCCTTATACTTAAACTATGACTAAATAACAAAATGAAACATATAAGACAAAAATTTACATATTTTGAAAATTAAAAAAACTTAGATCATACTCATTATAAAACCCAGGTTGTGTGTGTGTGTCTGTTCGTTTATATATTGGATCGGATTTCCTACATTTTTCAACCGATTTCAACAAAACTTCACAGGACTACGTAAAATTAGCTTGCGGTGGTTCTGACAGCGCCCAAAATTGGAAAAACAATTGTTTTTGCATGAAATCAATTTGAAAACACGATTAAGACGCATCGCTATCGCGAGAATGAAAGGGGGACAACTCATATCAAGTTATACTTATTATAAAACCTAGGTTGTCTGTGTGTGTGTGTGCGTGTGTTCGTTTATATATGGGATCGGATTTCCTACATTTTTCAACCGATTTCAACAAAACTTCACTTTTTTTTGGTAGGTAGCGTTTCTTATTGTCTGCACACTTTTTTTTTTATTTTTACATTCAGAATGCTTTTAAAATTCCATTTATAAGACAATTGTTTCTAATAAAATTCTATTTAATCGGTAGACTCATAACGATTGAAAACAATGTTTTTTTTTGTTTGCGTTTGACCAATTCGTAAAAAACAAAAAAAAAAAAAAAAAAAAAAAAAAAAAAACTAATTAAGACATGCGTGTCCGTCAACCTTAAACAATAATCTTTGTCAATTTTATTTTTCAGTCTTTATGATGGTCGATACTTGATCTATCTCATACTGTTACATTCCCGGGCAACGCCGGGCTCTACTACTAGCAAAAAAATAAAAACAGATGAGGCAGAAAATACAAACATTTCACAAACATAATAATAGAAATTTGTGTGAGCTTTAACAATATTTTGAAATATATTTCGATTTTCTTTCAATTTGGCTACGGACATGTTTTACTGGGAGTCATAACGATATTTTAGATATATCTTTATGCTTTCTTTTCATTTTCGATTTTAAAGTTTTTCTTTGTTCTTCCATTTTGTCACCGGTGTTGTTCTTTGCAGAAGCCGATGTCTTTTGCTCTCCTAGCGTCGTCTTGCGATTTTTTACATGAGAACGTCAAAAACACTTCCGCCCCCCCCCTCCCTGCAGCTAGACAGATTCTTTCGTAACTTACGTTTAAGTGCTTTCTGCCTTGAAATCTGAATTCTTTCTGATCTTATCCGCTGATCTGACTTCTTTTATGAGAAAACAATAGGCCCCAGGGACCCTAATTCCAAGTTTTACAAGGGCATCAGACCACATCTGTGATTGGTCAGTAAACACAATAAAATATATTTTTCAGTTCTGTCTATATTTCTGAGATAAGGTATTATGTACACTAATTGCATTATTCGGACTATTGTCCTCATCTTTGTCGCCATATTTATTACAACATTTCATCCGTTGTATACTCGGGGGCCTTCTTCAGGTGGTTGGAATGTCGAACTGAACCCTTTATTTCGCTCACTGGGGTAGACTGTTCTAGTTCCACGTGTCATGTTTAATGGATGTCAGTTATCACTTATCTCCTGTTGATTCCCCTCCCCAAGTTCTCCACTGCCTTAACCGGGAATTGAACTCACACTCTTTGGGTCCTGTCACTGGATCTAACTAACACCTTTATCCACTGTCCTTGAGGACATCTGTGTATATTTTATTCACTTTCAAAAATTGAATCTGCAACAATTCACAAAGAAGAAATAATTTTGACGGTATTTTAACTACTAATTCTAAAAATAGGGATTTTCACACAACTGTAACAATTTACAAACAGTCTGGTTTTCTTTAAAATACACTTTTCTCAAAGGAACGTGTAAAAAAACAAACTTAGACGATTATAATATTTATTTATTTACACCTTATGACAACTAATGACTAACTTTATTTTATAGTACTAAAAAGTAAAAAGTTTATAATATTCATATAAAATACAAATTTTATTGTAACGTCATTATCTACAATAATGGTTCAGTATCTGTATCAAGGACCGAATCGTTGTAATAAATATGGCGACAAGAGATGAGGACTATAGTCTGAATAATGTAAATAATGGATAATATGAAATATAGGTAAAAAATTCAGCTAGAAAAATTGAAAATAAATGCAATGTATTTAAATGAAATTATAGACATGTCATAATTGATCATTCCATCTTAAAATAAATCAACAATGTCTTGTGACAATTTTTAACATTTTTTTTTTTCTAACATTTTCAACTTGCGATATTTCTTCTTAAAAAGTTTAATAATTTTAACACATTCAACATTATGAATAAAAAATAGTGAATTTTATATAGTTTTTTTCGAGATTTGACAGGAGAAAAAAAAATTCACAAATTTGACAAAAAACAAAAGACCCCAGAATGACATCAAAATCCGCGGAAATTTTTCATCATAATAGACAGCTGTACTTTGTTTAATTTGTAACGTATATAAATTAAGGTAAAAAAAAAGCAAATGTTGATAAGATAGTGAGGGTCACAATGCACTGCCCAGATCTCCCAACCGTGCTTCCCCCACCCAGGTCGAGAGATTTCGTGGTAGT